AAGCATGGGGCACGATAGACTTCAGACCATTTTGCTCACCTTCTTCATCATCCTTATTCTGCTTTAGTGCATAACCAAAGCATTGCTGGAAATACTGTATCACCATATCTGTCAGGCCTCTGTTTTGTTTTCAGTCTTGATGCTGTATAGTGAGCTACCAAAGGATCTTTTAGCATTGACTACATCTGACCATTTTTCAACCTCATGCTCAACATTTTTCCTCACTTTGCTTATGGTAGATGAATCATCATCCTCAACAAGAACAGATACAACTGCATTTTTTACTCCACAGCTGTTAAGCAGAGTAAAACCAAAAAATAAAATTTTATGCCATAAAAAGTGAGGGCATTCAAACTACATCTAGGCATTATCTTAAAGTATTTTCTTTTCTTCATTTCAACATACTCATATTCAAAAATAAAGGTGCATTTTTAAGTTTGCTTTCTTGTCAAATTTTGAATCCTTATTACCAAGACTTTCCACTGTTTATGGTTCAAGTGTCATTACTGTAGCACTGATATCATAAGAACAGATTCCACAAGTCTCTCTTTGTAGCAATAAAACTGTGAATTTAACATGCTAATAACTATTATTATAATTGTTATTTTACTTTTTATTTTTATTATTACATACCTGGTTAGTAATTACCATTTGACTAGATCAACACAAACATCAGCTTCCATAGCTTTTGATGAGCCTTCTCAGTTGAGCCTGAAGTTGTGTATGCGAGCCTTTTTCGACTGTCTGCTGGCAGTTTCACATGTTGCACACCTTTACAAAAGACATTATGAGTAAAGGTCCTGGGTAACACTTTCAAGAGGAGGCAAATATGGGTGCTGTCATGTATTAAATGATTCTGTCCTTTTTTGGTCAAATTGAAAAAAATATATTGCTCTTGTTGTTTACAACAAGGTGCTAGTAGACAAGATATATGTATATACATCACCTTTTTGACCTTGAACCATACCAAATCACCTTGCCAGTTTTTGGGCCAACTATGGAGCCAACACCTAGTAGTGAAAGTAAGGATATATTTTATTTATTTATTTATTATTTAGTTAATTAACTTTGACCATTGGCTGACACCAGAACTATCAGTAAGCTAAAGAACAATCCAGAGAAAAAAATAGCAGCTTTCTATGAAAATGGATATCCAAAAACTCCCTTTTCAATTCTTTCAGATGTTGAATTTGCAGTGTACCTGTCAGGCTGTTGTGGGCTTTTCCCCTTCTTTGCCATCCCCTGTCGTATGACACTCCAATCCAATCTCCACATTTTCCTTTTCACTATCATCTTTCCACAGGTTTCTTTCGCTTTCTAAACTTTCCAGACGTGATTCCTTCGCCAACTTTTCAATTTGGGGCTCCACTTTCCTCTCACGAGCCTTCAGCGTGGACTCTCCCAGTGATGGTATATTGATGGATGACAACAACTCGTTTACGTGGGTAGGACCTATGCCTGCGTGTAGTATCCCTATAAATATGTCGATTCAACTTATTAAAAAATTGGCTAGATGTTAAGTGGATGCTTTAATGCTGGAAAACGATATTTATAAATATAAATGTAAACAAACCTGTATAAGTATAAATGTAAACAAACCTGCAGCAAGCTTCGTGTTTACGTCAAAGATTGGTCTCCCTCGCGTTGTTCCGGTGCTACCGTGGGTCTTGTTTGTTCGACAGGTATTTGTCTCTCCAAAATCAGAGTTTGAACTGCATATGTAGAGTAGTGATCATAGTCCAGAAACTGTTTCTTTTATGCAGTCGGAGAGCCGTAGAGCTGCCCCACAGGCTTCACAGCCGCCATCCAAATGATCCAAAGTTTTAGCGAGGACATTTAATTCTGCAACTCGACGGCCGCGAAGTGGAAATCCATTGCAGACTTCCGGATCACGCACGTTATTTTAATTTTCTCGTTCTAACACAGCAGAACAAGAAGCTTTCAACCGATTTGCGGCATTCTTATTGCGAATAAAAGCTTTCGCTCTGCAAAAGTGGCCATTGTCTGTTCTTCTCACGCCAGCGGGAAGACTTGAAGCTAAATACAAGAATTGCACCGACCTGTGATTGGAAGTTTAAAATAGCATTAGTCACGCTGTTGAGCTCCAGAGACTTGT